ATGATAATGAAAGTACTAGATAACAAAACTTGAGATACAAATAAAGCAATGATTAGAAAGAAATTTGTAACCTGAAATGGATATATTGGATAGGAATAAATGCTGAATACTCCTGAACTAAACATTAAATGTTGGAAGTAAAAGAATAACAGAAAAATAACAAAAAGTAAAAGGTAAGCTCTACTTCTAGTAATATGGCTGGTTATTTAGGCTATTTGGGTCAGTCCTTCTGTTGAAAAACAGGAAAATGTTGGCTGAAACATAGAAACAACAACAGTTTTCTTAGAGGCATTAGCACTGTCAAGACAGAAGGAATTATCAAGCTAACATCATTTTTCTGGCTTATATTATAAAAAATTTCAAACACAGAAAAGTTAAAGCACAGTACAGTGAACAGGTATACAAACTCTGTATATATTCAACAACAGTTAAATCATTTGAAGGTAAATTGTTGGCATCATAATATCTGACACCTAAATACTTTAGCTCAGAAGAATTAGAATGTTCTCCTACATAAGCATAATACTATTATAACAGCTAAAAAATTAACAGTAATTCTAATATCATATCTATTATATTATATCCAAATCCTGCCAAAAAATCTAAAAAAACTCCAACCATCCAGGGAGGAAAACAGAGCACAAAAACTGCTTTTGCCCTGAGGACATTAGCTGTTCCGAGCCTACTTTAACTTTGCTTTTGATGACTTAGCACAGTCAGAAGGTCTGATGTCAAAGGCCAAGGCTTGCACAAGGTGAGGAGTCTAATCCGAGACTCTCCACGGTAAGCTGAGTCCCCAAATGGCCTAGAGTAAAGGCAAATGAGGTTTATCCCCTTTCTTCTCTTTATCCACAGAGAATTGCAGAGAAAATGGCATTGATGCTGAGCTGGGGTGGGTGATGGATAAACTGGCCTGATATGGTTTGGCTATGTTCCCACCCAAGTCTCATCTTGAATTCCCAGGTGTTGAGGGAGGGCCCTAGCAGTAGGTAATGATGGGGGCAAGTCTTTCCCATGCTGTTCTAATAATAGTGAATAAGTCTCACAAGAGCTGATGGTTTTAAAAAGAGGCGTTCCCTCGTTTTTTTGCCTGCCTCCATCCTTGTGAGATGTAACTTGCTCCTCCTTGCCTTCCGCCGTGATTGTGAGGCTTCCCCAGGCACATGGAACTGTAAGTCCAATTAAACCTCTTTCTTTTGTAAATTGCTCAATCTCAGGTATGTCTTTATCAGCAGCATAAGAATGGACTAATACATGGCCCATACGGGAATTTGTAGCCCCAATTTATTTCACCTGGGCTGTTCACAAAATTTCAATCTATGAATTCAGGACACAGCACTATCAATAAAGTACTCTTGTGAAAAGACCTACTCCTGACTCTAAATACCTACTCAAGTCTCAAGACTGATGTACCAATTTACAGGAAATACAGGAGATAAAGAACCTAGTAAGTGATGCCTTTCTGTAAACGACCAAATTCAGAAAGATAGTCTACAGAGAAAGGGATCCAAATTCTTCAAAAAATTAATGGCACAAAAAATTGTGGTAGGAGAATACGAACTGTCTAAAATTACAAAAGACTCGTAATATAGCAAACACATATAAACCAAAGGTGGTATGGACCTTGGTTGAATTCTAATTAACATAAAACTAGGTTTATTAGATGATATCTGGACTGGGTATTATTAGATGATATCAAGGAATTACTGTTTAATTTGTTAGGTGTGATAATGGCATTGTAGATTTTAAAACAAGTTATTGGCTGGGCACAGTGACTCATGCCTGTAATCCCAGCACTTTGGGAGGCCGAGATGGGTGGATCACAAAGGTCAAGAGATAAAGACTATCCTGGCCAACATGGTAAAACCCCGTCTCTACTAAAAATACAAAAATTAGCTGGGCGTGGTGGTACGCATCTGTAGTCCCAGCCACTTGGGAGGCTGAGGCAGGAGAATTTCTTGAACCTGGGAGGTGGAGGTTGCAGTGAGCCGAGGTCATGCCACTGCACTCCAGCCTGGTGACGGAGCGAGACTCTGTCTCAAAAAAAGAAAACCAAAACCAAGTTATCTGTTAGACATACATGCTGAAGAATTATCTTTCTTGTCTTACAGCTATCAACTGTCAAACCATTAAGACAGTAAGAATCAGACTGATCAGGATTAAGAATGATTGATAGAGAAGATTGCAGAGATTTAGACTTCAAGCTGGGTGCAGTAGCTGGTTGAGATTTTGGGGCTGCCTTAGTTAGGGGTCTAACCAATGCATTTAGTGTACAATGCCTGCATGGAAAGAAGCGTATACATGGATATTACTTACTTAAAGGATGAGCTGTCATCGACCATGTTTTTTGGCGAACTAAACACATTTTAAACCCAACACACCTTTCCTTCCTTCCTTCCTTCCTTCCTTCCTTCCTTCCTTCCTTTGCTCCCTCCCTCCCTCCCTCCTTTTTTTCCTTTCTTTTCTTTTCTCTGGAGTTACACTCTCGTCACCCAGGCTGGAGTGCAGTGATGTGAACTTGGCTCATTGCAACCTCTGCCTCCTGGGTTCAAGCAATTCTCCTGCCTCAGCCTCCCCAATAGCTGAGATTACAGTCACCTGACACCATGCCTGGCTAATTTTTGTATTTTTAGTAGAGACAGAGTTTCACCATGTTGGCCAGGCTGGTCACAAACTCCTGATCTCAGGTGACCCACCTGCCTTGGGCCCCCAAAGTGCTGGGATTACAGGTGTGAACCACCACACCTCACCCCAACACATATTTTTAATCCTCTCCTTGAAAATTGCCATCATAGAGTCTGGAAACCTAAGTACTGGATTGGCTTTCCCAGTCTTCTTTATACCAAGGGGTGGCCATGTAAGATATAAATGAAAATCTTTTCGCAGAGGGGCCTCTAGGAAAACTCTTTGATAAAAGGAACAAATGATGTTGGCCCTCCTTTTTCCTTTCTTGAATTTGGATATGATTTCTGGAGCTGTAACAGCTCTTGCAACCATGAGGAAAATGCTCTAAAACAATGTAACTACCTACCCCCACATTCTTCAGAGCAATAAAAAAAAGTTTATGTTTAATTAAGCCACTGTTAGTTGAATGATTTTGTTATTTGCAGAAGAAAGCATTCCTAACCTATACATCACAGCAAAATGCTGGCAATTCCTATCTCATAAACTTTTATGAGGATTGATTAAATAAAATGCCTAACACTTGCCTAGGCAGCTTGTTTGTTCCTCTGTCCATCCTACTTCCTAGATCAGTTTGGCTACATTTTGGGAGGAAGTTATGGTTTGATTATACCTTTTTATTAAAGCAGAGGTCAGAACCATATACAGCATTTTAATTTGCAAAGGTGTCAGTTTTATGTAAGGTTAGGATAACATTTTCTAGTTTGTCCCATACTCTTATTTGTCATGCTCAATATTTTTGTTGTCTTCTTTGGAAAGAAGAGTTTACTGCTCCAGTATCTTCCTGGAAGAGTCCACAATTGTGCTAAATCTATTTTAACTATTCCCCTTTAGATTCTTTAAATTGTACTTGCCTACAGAGACATTCCCCTGCCACTTTTCTGTAAGCTTGCAGAGCCTGGCATTTTCTTCTGTTTTTCTTTGTTAGTTTAGTTGCTGCCTAAAAGCAAGACTAGGCTCTCATAAAGAGGCAAAATGGGGTTGGGCACGGTAGCTCATGCCTGTAATCCCAGCACTTTGGGAGGTCGAGGCGGGCATATCACAAGGTCAGAAGTTTGAGACCAGCCTGGCCAACATGGTGAAAGTACATTTCTACTAAAAATACAAAAAAAAAAAAAAAAAAAAGCCAGGCATGGTGGTTTGTGCCTGTATTCCCAACTACTCAGGAGGCTGAGGCAAGAGAATTGCTTGAACCCAGGAGGCAGAGGTTGCAGTGGGTCGAGATGGAGCCACTGCACACCAGCCTGGGTGACAGAGCAGGAATCCGTGGGGGTGGGGGGAGAAAAAAAAGGTAAAATGGGCAGCAGCAAACTGCAGGTGTGATAGGAGAGTTACTAAACTGAGATCTGTCTCCTAAAAAGTGGATCCGATTTCAGGATCACTCATTTATCTGATTGTCAAGAACGCCTCTGAACAGGAGGAAGACTCTGGGGAGAGGGTGGGAGATGTTGAAAGAGCACCGAGAAGGGAGGAGGTGGCACCCAAACAATTTGTTTACATAATGTTTTCTGGACCTGAAATACGTAGAAACGTACTTTGAAAATAAAATCCTGTGCTGAAGTTTAATTATTTTTCTTACGGTTTGCAGATTCTCCCTCCTAGATAATTTACAGAGGGCGCTGAAGCGGATCCCCTGGGAGCTTCAGAGTTTATGACTCTTCCTGTATTTTTAAATTTTCTGTAGAGACAGGATTTCCTACTTCTTTTCCACAATGTGCTAAGTCAAATTATGGCCAAATTACCAATCGCATGGTAATTCAGCTTCTAAATGTATTTGGTAGAGTGTTTCCAAACGTTAAAAAAAAAAAAAGTATCTAAATTGTTTTTACTTGGTTCTCTTTAAATAAGTGATTCGGTTCCTTTGAAGAACACTGTTGCTTTAGCATCCCCCAAAGTGAACGAGACACCCAGGATTACTGATTTACATCACAGTTTTAAAAAATGCCAATACTGGAAACAGTTAAGGAGAGGCGGGCCTCAAACTAAAGCAGAACCCTCTCAAAACCAGTTATATTTCAAGAGATGGATTAAGCGAAAAGAGCTGTACAAGGAAATAAGCCATTTTCTATGCGCCTATAAAACGCAAGGCACTGCACTCCCTCCTCACTTGGTAATTTACAAGAAGACTCGCAGGTCCAGGGAAACGGAGAGGGGAACAGGGGCAAGGGTCGCGGAGGGCGGCAAACTGCACTCCAAGCGGCGCGGGGCTGCGCTGGAGACATGCGTTCGGGTGCAGGGCGCCCCACGGCCAGGCAGGGGCGCGCGTCCTGCGCGGTAGCGGCGCGCGGCGTCCTCGGGCTTCAGGCCGGGCCAATCGGGAGGCGGGCGGGAGGGGGCGCGGCGCCGGGAGAGGCGGGGCTGGGTCGGGCTTCGCTGTTCGCCGGCGCGTAGGATCGGCGCCTTTGGCTTCCCCGCCGGCCATGGAGCGGCTGACCTTGCCTCCCGGCGGCGCGGCGGCGGTGGACGAGTACCTGGAGTACCGGAGGTGAGGCTGTGGCTCCGGGCCGGCCTTCCGCCTCTCGGAGGGGCCGGGACCCTGGGGCTGGGGGCGCGGGCAGGAGCCGGGCGGGCGTCCGCGGGGGTTCTCGGAATCTGTGCATGGGGTGTTTGGGGAGGCCTAGATGAATTCCAGATTAGCCTTTCCCTAATTAAATATTGTAGGGTCACGCAGTTCTATGCAGGGATCAGTCTTCCGAAGCCATTTAAGAGGTGCCTCTCTTCCCTTCCAAGAAGGATGACTAACTCTAGATTGATGCAGACGTCCAGCTGTTTTTTAAATGGCCATTGAAGACCTACGCGTTAGCCCAGTATTAGGGCCAACCGTGAACTTCTGAACGCGCTCCCTACCCCCAGGTGCTGGTTTTAGGAGAAAGGCACCGACTGGTGTTTGGCGTTCCTTCGAAACTGGAAACCTAGCTGCTCCTTTGGCCTGAGGACACGGTTCATTGTCCCGGGTCCTGACCAAGGCTGGTGCACCTGCGGTGACGCGCTCCTTTTCCGCTTCCTGGGGTTTTTGTGGTCGCGAACCAGGGCGCATGGGAAGTCCTGGGGAAGACCGGCAGAGGACGCGGAGTTTTGGCGGGAGGATGTGTGTGTACAAGCAGAGGGGAGAAGCTCCAGGCTTTGCCCGGGACGCTGGAGCGAGAGACAGGGCCTTCTCTGTGGGATCGTGGGCAGCCCGGATCCTGAGGTGTGTGTGCAGATGAACCACCAGCTGACTGCGCTCCCCGACTCTGACTGCCCCGTTGGTGTAGTTTTGGGTAACCCTTAGAACTGCCTGGAGATTCTAAGCCAGAAGAAGAAGGCCTAGGAACTTGATGAGGTCAGATCCCAGGCCTGGTTCAGGGTCAAAACAGCCACCATCCCGTCTTCCCTTGTAGCAGAGCCGGCTCCGTGAGCCTCCAGTTCTCCGGAGCTTTTCCCTGGGAGGAAGTTGCCGGAGCTGGTGTTGACTGACAATTTGTGTATAGATAGTGAATTGTGGGCCTCCAGTTGACTCTCGTCTAGCCCCAAACATGTTAGGGGCAGACCTCGTGGGAAATTATGTATTTATTTATTTTATCGACACAGGGTCTGACTCTGTTGCCCAGGCTGGAGTGCAGTGGCGCCATCTCGGCTTATCGCAATCTCCTTCTCCCAGGTTGAAGTGACTCTCCTGCTTCAGCCTCCCGAGTAGCTGGGACTCCAGTCGCGTGCCATGACGCCCAGCTACCTTTTGTATTTTCTGTAGACACGGGATTTCACCATATTGCCCAGGCTGGTCTTGAACTCCTAGGCTCAAGCTGTCTGCCCGCCTCTGCCCCAAGTGTTGGGATTACAGGTTTGAGCCACCGCACCCAGCTGGGAAATTATTTTTGCAAGCATAAATAACTGGAAACACTTCCCTCTGAAAGAGATTATCAGGTCCTTTACTGACATCAGAATTTTGGAAAAGTGGGGAAAACAGAACTTGAGTGCCTAGATATGAAAGGGTGGACTGGGAAGGTGGGGTGGGAAGATGAGTCAGAATACGAGTTTAGAAGGAAACAAACTTTCCTTCCTAAGAGTTTTCCTCCATTTGGTCTTGCCTAGGTACTTTGGTGGGAGTCAGTTGAGAGGGAAAGCATATGGCCTTGTTACTCACAGTATGGGAGGCACTGACCAGTGTCCTGGCATCACCTGGGAGCTTGTTAGAAAAGCGGAATCACGGGCCCACTCTAGACCTGTTATTATTTATTATTTTCAGACAGAGCCTCACTCTGTCACCCATGCTGGAGTGCAGTGGCGCCCGTAATGGCTGAGGGCAACCTTGACTTCCTGAGCTGAAGTGACTCACTCACCTCAGCCTCCTAATTGGGGCTACAGGCATGTATCACCACACTCGGCTAATTTTTAAATTTTTTGTAGAGATGGGGTCTCACTATGATGCCCGGGCTCATCTTAAGATCCTGTCCTTAAGCAGTCCTTCCACCTCAGCCTCCCAAAGTGCTGGGATTACAGGTGTGAGCCACCATACCTGGCCTTATCTTGTATGTGTGTGTGTATACGTGTGTGTGTGTATGTGTGTATCTTTTTTTTTTTTTTTTTTTATGTGGAGTCTCGTTCTGCTGCGTAGGCTGGAGTGCAGTGGTGCCATCTTAGCTCACTGTAACCTCTGCTTCCGCAGTTCAAGCAATTCTCAGTGCCTCAGTCTCTGGAGTAGTTGGGATTAGGCACCTACCACCACGCCCAGCGAAATTTTGTCTTATTGATAGAGACGGGTTTTGCCATATTGGTCAGGCTGGTCTTGAACTCCTGACCTCAAGTGATCCGCCTGCTTCAACCTCCCAAAGTGCTGGGATTACAAGCGTGAGCCACTGCGCTGTGAGTCTTAGTCTGCATTTGTACAAGATCCCCTGGTGATTCTGTAAGTACAATAAAATTGGAGTTGCACTGGTTTAGAACTTAAATACCAATGACATCTAACTTTTAAAAGACCTTTTAAAGATCTGCATCTATCATAAGATCTTAATACCTGTTGGTATTCTTGATAGCTACAAGAAAGTGAAATGGCTGGGCTCAGTGGCTCACGCCTGTAATCCCAGCACTTTGGGAGGCCGAGGCCGGTGGATCATGAGGTCAAGAGATCGAGACCATCCTGGTCAACATGGTGAAACCCCCTCTCTACTAAAAATACAAAAATTAGCTGGGCATGGTGGTGTGCACCTGTGGGGCTAGCTATGCAGGAGGCTGAGGCAGGTGAATCACTTGAATCCGGGAGGCGGAGGTTGCAGTGAGCTGAGATTGAGCCACAGAGCAAGACTCCATCTCAAAAAAAAAAGAAAGTGAAATAGCCCAAAATTTATCTCAGAATTAAATGCTCTTTGTGTTTTTTTTTTATTTTTTATTTTTTTACTATTATGTATCTAGATTGTTTATGTAAGGAAGATGGTTGTGATTATTTTATAGCTTATAAATTGGTTTTTCTTTTTTTTGTTTTAGTGGCAAGCAGGTAGAGCAATGGTTTTTATTTTCTACCTTGGCTAAAGGCTTCAAAGTACGGAAAAAAGCACGTATTGTACAAAAAAGTATATAGCATTCTACAAACAACACTTTTTGTGACTTTTCAAGGGGAGTATTTCCAGGGAGAAATGTCTTCAGTTTTGAAAAACTTCTTTTAATCGTGCTTTCTTTTCCTCCAGGGAGGCCAACTCTTACTTTCTTTTCATAGAAATAATGAGGGCTTAATGTTTTCACATAAAATTTTGGGTTCTTTCTTCTGAAGTTAAACAATGATAAATCTGAATACCTAACACACAGCTGTGGTTTGAGCTTGTGTTGAACCAAGCGTGTATGTAGGTTCCACATTAGTTTAAACTCCTGGCCAGGGTTTGGAGACAGGTAGGAAAATTAGTCATGGTGGCTTCTGCTTTGATACTTTTTTGTATTTCTTTTTGGATACATTTTTAAAGCAGGAAAATGTTAGAATTTTTAGCAGTTAAACCTCTACTTTTAATGAGAAGAATGAGCATCTTTGCTTCAGTATCAGAGGAAAAACTGAGATGAATATGTGGTAATTCTCTGTTGATAAACCTGGATCAGTAAAGTCATGTTATGAATTCACTGTCTTTCCTATTTATAATCATCCCATATAGAAAGCATAGGGGAGAAAGATTTCTTTTCTCAGCCACCACGAGGGTCATGGCTGAGGCACGTGCGATTCCAGATCAAACAGAGGGTCGGGCTGCGTCTTCTCTCGGCCCAATAATTCGATGCAGATGAACTGAGAAAGAAGGGAGTTTATTTCTGTAACTAGGTATAGGGAGAAGGCCTGAAAGATATCACCAGACCAACTCAAAATTACAAAGTTTTCCAGAGTTTATATACCTCCTATGCTATATGTTTACATGTAAGTGTGCATTTGTCTAAAGACATAAGTGATTAACATAAGTTGACCCAATTCAACTTTAGTAATATAGATTACTAAATACATAAGTGATTAACTTGTCTTTAGTAATCTATATCTAAAATCTGAGTAATTATATATTTAAAATATATATCTGAGTAGTCTATATCTAAAATCTTTAGTAATCTGTATCTAAAATCACTTATGTCTAAAGACGTAAGTGATTAACTTACGTCTTTAGTAGTCTGTATCTAAAACCTGAGTCCTGAAGACCTTTCTCTGGAGCCTCGGTAAATTTACTTAATCTAAATGGGTCCAGGTGCTGGGTTGATTACCCTTATCTTGTCTCCTGCTAAATCATGGACATCTGGGGAGTTCCTTCAGACCGACAATGAACTTGTTTGTGGAGGTCTGGGGAGTTTCTTCAGACCCCCAATAAACTTGTTAGTCCTAAACGGGTCCTTTAAGAATTCCTTTGTTATCTTGTTATGCTTCAAGGCCCAGAAAAGGCCTAGGCAAAACTCTTGGTGGGCTTTTATTACATTCCAGCTTTTGGATAAGGACACTGGCTCTATCAGCTTTTAATGTTTAACTTAACTACTCATTCAGTGCCGAAACAGTTGTTTCGGAGATGTGGCCTGCCACCCCTGTAAGAAAGGACAGATGTACAGAATAAAAGCTTACAAACTTATTTAATATTTGCAGTGGCCTGGTTATTGCTTGCCTGGAAAATAAATACTCAAAGTTTAAGAGAAATATATTTTTTTGTTGTAGAATTGTTGGTGAGGATGATGGAGGGAAACTTTTTACTCCTGAAGAATATGAAGAATACAAAAGAAAAGTTTTACCTCTGCGCCTACAGAACAGATTATTTGTGAGCTGGCGGTCACCAACTGGGATGGATTGTAAACTTGTGGGCCCAGAGACACTGTGTTTTTGTACACATAGGTAAGATATTTTATTGCTACGTTTTCTGATAATTAGAAAATAAAAAGCTAAGCATATCTTACTTCTACAAAGGAAACTGTGATGATTGAGAAACATGTAACAATTGTCTTTTATACAGTAGAGTAGGAATTACCAGCTGGGCATGGTGGCTCACGTCTGTTATCTCAGAACTCTGTGAGGCCGAGGCAGGAGGACCACTTGAGTCCAGGAGTTGTAGTCTGCAGTGAGCTCTGATTGTGCAACTGCATTCCAGCCTGGGCGACAGAGTGAAACTTTGTCTCTTAAAAAACAAAATTATCTAAAGGTTTTTTTTTGTTTGTTTTTTTTTTTTTTCTTTTTGAGATGGAGTTTCGCTCTTGTTACCCAGGCTGGAGTGCAATGGCGCGATCTCGGCTCACCGCAACCTCCGCCTCCTGGGTTCAGGCAATTCTCCTGCCTCAGCCTCCTGAGTAGCTGGGATTACAGGCACGCGCCACCACGCCCAGCTAATTTTTTGTATTTTTAGTAGAGACGGGGTTTCACCATGTTGACCAGGATGGTCTCGATCTCTCGACCTCGTGATCCACCCACCTTGGCCTCCCAAAGTGCTGGGATTACAGGCTTGAGCCACCACGCCCGGCCAAGGTTTTAAAAACTATAATTAAAAAATTTCTGTCATATCCTATTAGAACTCATGATGGAGTCTATCACCGTAAGCAGTTCTCTTGCCACTGGTAAAAATGTTTGGTGGTCCTGTGGCTTTGCCAGGGGTCTTTCAGTTTGACTGGGGAGCAGAGTCTCCCCACATGTGGCATCACTGGAGAAGGTAGAGAATGGGTTATCAGATGGAGGAACTACTTTAAGCATTGCTTGAATTGATCCACATTGATCATGCTGTCCATCTGTAAGTATAAACATTTCTCCTCAAATTGACTAAATCGCCTTTCATACCTTAAGGAGCTGCTGTGTTGATACCTTTCTTTAAACAAACAAACACACTGTTTTATATTACTAATGGTCATGTTCCAAGAAAAGTGCCGAAAGGAAAGGAAGTAAGTGAGGCTCCAGTTTTTGACCTGAGTTGCCCGTATCTGCATTTGGCGTTTTGCTGTGTGTATGCTGTACTTTGAATTTTGCTACTGTCTCACAGTTGTAAAGTTCGGAATACCTAAGCTGCTTCAGAGAAAAGTCTCTGAACCTATTCTGTGTTTTCAGGTAGCAACTTTTTCTGTTCCAAGAGGAACCACCCTATTCTGATAGCAATTTCTGGGACTCTTTCACAGAGACTCTTTGTATAGTTCCTATTTACAGAGTTGCAGTTTGCCCGTTTGTTAGGCAGTTGCTAAGGTGAGTAATGTTGTATATAGATTGACTGTAAAGTTATTTAGCAACCCCAACTAAAACACTGAGGAATAATGGAGGATGAGGGATGTGTTGATATCTTTCAGCATTAAAGAAGGGTTTGGTAAGGTTTGTGATAGTTTTTTTTTTTTTTTTTTGAGACAGAGTTTCGCTCTTGTTACCCAGGCTGGAATGCAATGGCGCGATCCTCGGCTCACCGCAACCTCTGTCTCCTGGGTTCAGGCAATTCTCCTGCCTCAGCCTCCTGAGTAGCTGGGATTACAGGCACGTGCCACCATGCCCAGCTACTTTTTTGTATTTTTAGTAGAGACGGGGTTTCACCATGTTGACTAGGATGGTCTCGATCTCTTGACCTCGTGATCCACCCGCCTCGGCGTCCCAAAGTGCTGGGATTACAGGCTTGAGCCACTGTGCCCGGCTGGTTTGTGATAGTTTTATAGTTTATTCTTACACATATTTAGTGCCACTTTCTAATCTCTGTATAACTTACACAGCATGGACTTGAACCTCAAAATTGATCTAACTCAACTTTTTTTTTTTTTTTTTTGAGACAGGGTCTTACTCTGTCGCTCAGGCTGGAGTGCAGTGGCACGATCTTGGCTCACTGCAGCCTTGACCTCCTGGGCTCAAGTGATCCTCCTACCTCAGCCTCCCAAGTAGCTGGGACCACAGGTGTGTGCCACCATACCCAGCTAATTTTTGTATTTTTTTGTAGAGATGCAGTTTGGCTTTGTTGCCCAGACTGCTCTAGAACTCCTGGGCTCAAGTAATCTGTCTACCTCCGCCTTCCAAAATACTCGGATTACACTTGTGAGCCACCATGCTCAGCTGACCCAACTCAACTTTGATGGAGAAGTTAATATATTTAGTAGTGATCCACTCAGTGAGATCTTTTCCTAAACTCTTTTTCCCTACTATAAAAGTGATACATGATTATTAAGGAAAATGGGGAATATATAGAAACAAAGAGTATATTCTATATTCTATATAGGATATATAGAAGCAGCTCGCTACCCAAAACCAGCTGCTAATTTTTTTTTTTTTTTACAATATCTATAGGACTTTTTCTTTACATGGTCTGTTTAATTGTTGTTAATTATGTATGTGCATAAAATACTGAGCCAGTTTTTAATAACAGAATCACAGAAATATGTTTCCATGTTGTTATGTGCTGATCAAAAACAAGATTTTTAATACCTACCAGCTAGTCCAGCTAGTCCAGTGGTGTTTATCTGTGTTCCCCAGGCCTGTGAGGGAGGCTTGGGGGCGTACCAGGTGGAAGGGAAGGTTAGGGGAAGGGGAAACTCTGTTCTGTTCTTCCTCTTGCTGTAACTAATTCTGCATTTGTTTTATATATTCTGGTTCTGTAAAAGATTTTATTTTACAAAAAGATTTCACTAAGAGAGTTGAAAACTGTTGTCTAGTAATTTACCTACTGGTTCTTGTGTGTGTGTGTGTGTGTGTGTGTGTGTGTGTGTGTGCGCGCGCGCGTGTGTGTGTAATGTAGCTGATGTAAGTACTATTTGCCAATACTATTGGTATTATATTTATTGCATAAAGCTTTTTCTATATATGGAATTATTTTCTTAGGGTATATTTTCTGAAAATGAAATTTCTGGTTTAAAGAATAGACCTTTTAAAATTTCTTGAAACGTTATTATTATTATTATTATTATTATTTTTTGAGACGGAGTTTCTCTCTTGTTACCCAGGCTGGAGTGCAATGGTGCGATCTCGGCTCACTGCAACCTCCGCCTCCTGGGCTCAGGCAGTTCTCCTGCCTCAGCCTCCTGAGTAGCTGGGATTACAGGCACGCGCCACCACGCCCAGCTAGTTTTTTGTATTTTTAGTAGAGACGGGGTTTCACCATGTTGACCAGGATGGTCTCGATCTCTCGACCTCGTGATCCACCCGCCTCGGCCTCCGAAAGTGCTGGGATTACAGGCTTGAGCCACCGCGCCCGGCCCTTGAAACTTTATTAAATTATCAAATAGAATTTGTTCTTTTATAACACTTTTTTTTGGACAGCGTCTCCCTCTGTTACCCAGGCTGGAGTGCAGTGGTGCTGTCGCAGCCCACTGCAGCCTCTGCCTCCCGGGTTCAAGGGATTCTTCTGCCTCAGCCTCCTGAGTAGCTGGGACTACAGGCGTGTGCCACCACAATTGGCTAATTTTTGTATTTTTAGTAGAGATGGGGTTTCATCATGTTGCCCAGGTTGGTCTCAAACGCCTGAGCTCAAGTGATCCACTTGCCTCGGCCTCCCAAAGTGCTGGGATTATAGCCATGTGCCACCAGCGCCTGGCTCTTTTGTAACACTCTTGATAGCATTGTGTATTATATGTGGTTTTAAAAAACTTTGTTTTTTTTGCTAAGTTAAAGTGGCATCTCATTTTAATTTGCATTTCTTTGATTAATATTGAGAATAATAAATTTAGTATTATTTTACTCAATATCACCTTATGAGAAGGAAGTGAGTGGTCTATTTAAGAAAATTACTACTATAAGAAGGAGCTTTGGCTTTCAAAAATATTGATCATTTATTTTGAAGTCAAAAGTTATATTAAAATAAATTACATCAATACATGTTTATTGAATATATTTATATTTTAAGTAGCAAATATATGCAAATAAATTTAAATAACACACTTTGATAAAAATAACTTTTATAAAGAAAAATTTTCATACTCTTAGGTTGTGCTTCCATGTTAAGGAATTTGTAGAGGTAAGTATTTTAAGGAAATTATACGATATTTCTTTCTATTGCTGTGAAACAACTTCTTAAGTAACTAAAAATAGAAATTTAAAAGAGTGAAGATTTCCTCTGACTAAAGCAAGATAACTGATATAAGTACTACATGTAGGAGGTTTCGCCTTACTAACAAGAATAATAAAGCAATAACAATTTAAAAATCATATCTGCCTTTAATAGAATAGAAATTGTAATTTTATATAATACCTGCATTGTGTTTATACTTCTTTCTCTCTCTCTCTTTTTAGGTATAAACAACATAAAACTGACTTGGAGACGATTCCCCAGCAGCGCCCCATTGATCTGCCCTGCCGAGTGACTGGCTGCCAGTGCAGGGCTTACCATTATGTCCCCTTGAATGGTACCCAGCCCATTCGCTGCAGGTGCAAACACTTTGCTGATCAGCACAGTGCTGCGCCTGGCTTTACATGCAATGCCTGTGAGTTACATTATTATTAATACACAAACACAGAATGCTTCTATGTCTTCCTTATTTAATGTGCACAATATTTAATGTGCCTTTGTACTGGTCAGAGTTAATATTCAGTTGTATTAGTTGTAGAGTTAATATTCAGTTGTAGCATTAATATTAAGCAACTAAGGAAAATTCAATGGATAAATACTCCTCCATTTCATTTTTGTGGAAGAACTCAGAGTTAATGGTATGCGTGGTAATCATAAACCCTCATCTCATGTAGTTTAGATAATTTAATAGTAATGGATTTTAAAGAATTACCAGATGTGATCTGATTCTAATTTTTCAACACGGGAATTTAATCAACTAAATTCTATTCATAGATTTTAAAAAGGCATTTTATATGTCAAAAAATTTTTATGGTTTGCTGATAGATTAACATAGCATGATCATTTTAATGCTTTGTATGCAATAGCACCCTTACCTTAATACGTGTACCCAAATTCCAACCACTACCCCATATGCCTTTACACTAGATCAGGCATCCCCAAACTACGGCCTGTGGGCCGCATGCGGCCCCCTGAGGCCATTTATCCAGCCCCCCACCGCCCGCGGCACTTCAGGAAGGGGCACCTCTTTCATTGGTGGTCAGTGAGAGGAGCACAGTATGTGGCGGCCCTCCAAGGGTCTGAGGGACAGTGAACTGGCCCCCTGTGTAAAAATTTTGGGGACACCTGCACTAGATCGTCCATTGAACTAGGTAGGGTACCAGTCCATTAGTTTCCTTCAGGAGATAGTTAATCCAGTTGTTTTTGTAGTACTTTGAGTTGAAATCATATGATGAAATATGTAATAAAACATTTTTAATGACAGTGGCGGTAATAAATGTTTCATTGGCTGAATATGGAAGTAGTTGGAGAAAACTCATTTATTTATATACCTTGGTTCCCATATATATGTATATATATATTTTTGTTTGTTTTGTTTTGTTTTTTGAGACAGAGTTTTGCTTTTGTCACACAGTAGCATGATCTCGGCTCACTGCAGCCTTTGCCTCTGGGTTCAAGTGATTCTCCTGTCTCAGCCTCCCGGGTAGCTGGGATTACAGGCACCCACCACCACCCTAGCTAAGTTTTGTATTTTTAGTAGAGTTTTGCCATGTCGGCCAGGCTGGTCTTAGATTCCTGACCTCAGGTGATCTGCCCACCGCAGCCCCCAAAGTGCTGGGATTACAGACGTGAGCCAGCACACCTGGCTGTTCCCATGTATATTTGTCAGAGACGTGAGTGGGTAAAGATTTTGTTAATCGCATATTCTGGCTTCCATACAATATGGCTTGATTTTTTTATATAACTACTTTGTTAAGACATAATTTACATATCATACAGTTAACCAGTTTAAAATGTGCAGTTTAATGCTTTTTAATACATCCTCAGAGTGTATGTTGTGTAACCACCAGCACAATATACTTCAGAACATTTTTCTCACCCCCTAAAGAAACTCCATATTCACTATTATGGAGTCATTCCATATTTTTCCCTTTCCCCAGCCCTAAGCAATCTATAATCTACTTTTTGTCTCTGAATTTGCCAATTCTGGACATTTTATATAACTAGAATCATAGAATATGTGGTCTTTTGTGACTGGCTTCTTCATTTAGCATGGTGTTTTCATGATTCATCCATGTAGCCTATATCAATACTTCTTTGCTTTTTATTGCTGAAGAAGATTCCACTGCATGCTTTCTGTGTCTACAGGTTGGTCTTCCAATGTGGCTTTTTTGGGGAGTTGATCTGTAGGAAGATTATCTCTTCACCTGGTGGTGGCCACTGGGTTGTCCCTGCCATGCCTGCTTTTAATTCAGTTTGTGAGGAGAGGGCCTGCATACCTGGCTCTTCAATTTCTTTTAGTCCTTGTTGCTTTTTGCGGGGCTGTTTTTTTTTCCCTATGGCATACCTGGTTACTGCTTCAGCATGTTTTACAAGTAAGCACAGTGGCTAGGAAGCAGTTCAGTGACTGGAGGTAAGAGTTATAGGGGCCAGAGGATCTAGATTCAAATGGCCTTAGCTAGGCTAAGGGTCTTTAGGGTAGACAAGTTAGTACCTTTAAGAATTTAACTCCTGACTGGGCGTGGTGGCTCACACCTTTAATCTTAGCAGTTTGGAAGGCCGAGGCAGGCGGATCATGAGGTTAGGAGTTTGAGACCAGCCTGACAAACATGGTGAAACTCATCTCAAGACCAGCCTCACAAACATGGTGAAACCCATCTCTACTAAAAATACAAAAATTAGCTGAGTGTGGTACCGTATGCCTGTAGTCCCAGCTATGTGGGAGGCTGAGGCAGGAGAATTGCTTGAACCCAGGAGGCGGAGCTTGTGATGAGCCAAGAGTGTGCCATTGCACTCCAGCCTGGGTGACAGAGCAAGACTCAGTCTCAAAAAAAAAAAAAAAAAAAAAGAAAAAAGAATTTAACTCCTTTTCCATGTTGATTCAGGTTCCAAGTGTTCTGGATTCCATAGCTGCTTCACTTGTGCTTGTGGTCAGCCTGCATATGCCCATGACACAGTCGTGGAAACTAAGCAAGAAAGATTGGCTCAGGGAAAACCAGTGGGACAGGATGTTCCTTATGCAGCCATGGGAGGATTAACTGGTTTCAGCTCGCTGGCAGAAGGCTACATGCGATTAGATGACAGTGGGATTGGTAAGTGATACTATATGAAATGTGAGCCTGTCGTTTTTATGTGTTAACAATAGTGGAGCCTTATATTTGTTAAGCACTTTATAGCATTTTGGGAGGCCGAGGCAGGCAGATTGCTTGAGCCCAGGAGTTTGAGACCAGCCTGGCAACATGGCGAAACTCTGTCTCTACAAAAATACAAAAAATTAGCTGGGTATGGTATCATGTGTGTGCCTGTAGTCCCAGCTACTTGGTGAGGGCTACATCCCACCTGAGCCTGAGATTTAGAGGTTGCAGTGAGCTGTGATAGTGCCATTGCCCTAGCCTGGGGACAGAGAGAGACCCAGCCTCAAAAGAAATAAATAAAATGTTATACCTTTATGGGGCAGCTCTGTTATAATCTTATGGGGCCACCATTGTATATGTAGCCCATTGTTGACCAAAATGTCTTATGTGACACATGATTGTATAAAGAAAGAAAACCTCTTCCTTTTGGTCCATGAAAGAAGGTGGGGTGAAGAAAGGAGAGAGTGACGAAAGGAAATAATAGAGGTTTTTATCCTGATTTCAGGTATGGAGGAACCTAGGGGCAGAGGGACTCCATGGTTATCTATTAGCCACATGGCTATCTAGAGTGAGGAAACCTCTGGCTGGAATTTGGTTCTTTTTTGATGCTGAAGGAGTCCATAATTCCCAGTTCTCCCAGGGGTGCTGAGAAGGCAGCTAACCTGTGAGTGAGCCTGCCATGCCACCTGTCATAAGCAGGGGGCAGAGCTGGAGGTGGGTCCTGAAAGCTGAGGGACTCAATAGAAGAAGTGACAGGCATTGAGGGAGTCTGTACCTCCAGTGGGAGCAAGCATGAGGCTAGGAGGCTGTATCAAGCTGAGAGACCAACTTATTAAATACAAGTTGAGCATTTGAGATCAGTAGCACATGCAGCCACCAGAGGGCAGCACAAAGACCTGTGTGGACCAGAGCACCTTCTGTCAGATTCCCACATGCCCCATGAGAGCCACTGGGGATAGGAGAGGGGAGAGACAGAGCAGTTGTCCCACATTGTCTCTGTTTTAAGATAGGGCTAACTTCTAACCCAATTAGGACTAAACGTTCACTTGCTTTCCTTCATCTGTGATACAGGGTTAGGAGTATTGGGGGAAGGTGGTGGCTTATGAAGAAGACAGAGTAGCTACACATTTTCTCTGCAGCTTCCTTCCTTTCAGTCCAAAACTCAGTGTATTCAGCAATTGGTCTTTGTAGTGTATGGTTTGGAGTTGTGGATGTTTCCTCATTTCATTGAAGAGGTACTTTCTTTTTATTTTTCTTACTTTGTTTTTAGATGGTTTCCTAGTAAGGAATGGAGTAAAAATACACTTACTCTACCCTTTTCAGCCAGAGGTACCTTACTATGAATGTCTTGCTTTTGACAGTGTTTTGTAAGTATTATATATTAGGGTTTTGAACTTCTATGCTAACATAGGTACATAATATTCTTTTTTCTGTGAAAAAGGTCTCAGAAATGTGCAGAATACTTTACGCATTTACCTTTACATGTCAGACAAAAATCTAAATGAAAAGATAGGGTCTCACTCTGTTACCCAGGCTGGATCCAGTGAAGTGATGTGATCATAGCTCACTGCAGCCTCAAATTCCTGGGCTCAAGTAATCTTCCTGCTTTACCCTTCCAAGTAAGTAGGACTATAGGCACTTGCCACCATGCCCAGCTAATTTTTGTTGTTGTTGTTGTTTTAGAGATGAGGTCTCCCTATGTTGCCAAGACTGGTCTTGAACTCCTGGCTTCAAGTGAACCTCTTGCTCTGGCTTTCCAAAGTGTTGGGATTATAGGCACGAGCCATTGCACCCTGTCTAAAAATTTTTTTATAGGGGGAATTTCTATTGATTGTGCTGAGATTCCAATTTATTTTACATTAGAAGTAATAACTTGTGGCTGGGCATGGTGGCTCACGCCTGTAATCCTAGCACTTTGGGAGGCTGAGGTGGGTGGATCACCTAAGCTCAGGAGTTCAAGACCAGCCTGGCCATCATGGTGAAACCTCATCTTTAAAAAAAAAAAAAAAAAGAGTAATAACTTGTTTGTATCCTTGTAAATGTTTAATTTTTATTTTCTATGTATTGTTTGCACAGGTGCACCTTCAGTGGAATTTTTAGAATCTCCCACTATGGCGGTAGACCATCCATTCCTAAAAGCATTTCAAGCATCATCTAGTTCTTCTCCAGAAACATTAACAGATGGTAATGAAATTAATTTAGAACTAATTTTGGATGTAGTCAATTAGAATATAGAGCTTTGATTTGTTTTCGAGGCTTCTTTTTTCCATTATTACGATACTTTAACTTCAAATTAATCTATCATTTTACTTTCTTTTATGTTAGCCGCACAACGAGAAAAAGCAAGCAACTTCATTTTGTATTGGGAAAAATAGCTAACTCTGAGAATTTTGAGGATTCTGATAATACTCTAAAGTTTTAAACCTTGTTCTGATACATGCCGTTGCTCTGGTGTTTGAATAAGAGAGCCCTCTCATGGACTAATCGCCTTTGGGTTTTCCCAAAGAGGCATAATCCAGTGATAACCGTAGGTTAGCAGGTTTTTATCATTTATAAATTAAGAGCAAGAAGAATTCATTTTTAATCACCAGTATGCTATATTTCCCTTATTGAAAACAAGAAGAATGAATTTGTATGACTTATTAGGTATTTAAAATTTAGTATTTTACAATATTTTAAAATGAGAATTTTCTTTGATTTATCTGTATTTTCACACACCTAGACATTCCTCACAAGGAATTTTAAGCCTGCTTGCAACATACGACTCAGTATATAATGATAAAATATATATAGAAGACAGAAGCCAAGAAGAGGGCACAATTGTGGCAGCTTTCCAGGTTGATGTAATTGCTTTGTTTAAATTTCAGTTTTGACTGAGGTTAGTGGCAGCCAAGGCAGAGAGGAAGGTGCAGTCAATTAAATGTTTTTTTTTTTTTTTATTATTAGACAGGGGGAAACCTGAGTTTCTCAGTGCTAATGAATGTTACACCAATGCTGGATTTTTTTTTTTTTTTTTTTTTTTTTTTGAGACAACTTTTTGTTCTGTTGCCCAAGCTGGTGTGCAGTGGTGTGATCATGGCTCACTGTAACCTTGAACTTCTGGGCTCAAGTGATCTTCCTGCCTCAGCAGGAGTATGTAGCTCGGAGTATAGGTGTACCACCACACCTGGGTAATTAAAAATTTTTTTCTTGCAGAGGCAGAGTCTTGCTATGTTGACTAGGCTGGTCTCAAACTCCTGGCCTCAAGCTGTCCTCCTGCCTCAGCTTCCCAAAGCACTGGGATTACAGCTATGTCACTGCTCCAGGCCGGGCATGCTGGATTTGAAGTCTGTAGTGACCCTGAGTGATGAGTGGCCAAAGTGAAAGCTTTTTTTCAGCAAATACAGCAAATGGTTGCTTATTTCTGATAGTCACCTTTTCCTTTTTTTTTTTGAGACAGTCTTGCTCTGTTACCCAGGCTGGAGTGTAGGGGTGTGATCTTGGCTCACTGCAACCTCCACCTCCTTGACTCAAGTGATCCTCCTACCTTAGCCTCCTGAGTAGCTGGGACTACAGGATTGTACCACCATGCCCAGCTAAATTTTGAATTTTTTGTAGAGACAGAGTTTTGCCATATTGTCCAGGCTGGTCTCAAAACACCTGAGCTCAAGCAATCCACCTGCCTCTGCCTCCTCAGGTGCTGTGACTGCAGGTGTGAATCACTGTGCCCAGCCTGATAGTCACCTTTGATGAGTTGTGATACACCATTTTACTACATAAATGGCAATATACCATTATAATGCAACTCAGTGAAGATGAGTCTGGGAGAGGCTTGGCTCAAATGGTTTGATATGATCCAGAGATAGACCTAGAGTTTCCAGAGGAATAGGTAGATAACACACATTCTAAGCATCCCTTCTTACTCTTCTCAATAAGACTTGTCAAAGATAGTCGACAGTCTGTTGTTGTACTCTGTGGTGATTCTCTGGAGTTACATGTTTCCATGTTGCTGATTGAGGGTGAATTCATATGCTTTACAAACTAGAAGAACAAGTGTTCACGTTGCTATTCTGTTTTGGAATTGAAGGGACCCAATGAAGACATTCACCCTCAATGAAAGTGAACTTTTCTATGAAATTAGGCTCTTGGGGTACCTACCAAGAAAACTAGATTTTTTCCTACTGAAGCAATTTAAAAAATTCCTTTCAGCATATAATTTAGTGCTTGATCAGTTTTATGAAGTGAGTACCATGAAAAATGGCTAAAATAGTTAAATTCTGAAACATTTTGAGGCAGGTACTATCATCACTATGGCTGCCTATACCAAGCCTCAATAATTACTTTTATGCATTGTCTCAAAGTGTAACATGGATTTCTAGTTATACAATGTGAAAAGTAGTTGGACAAGACTAAGCATAGTCTTATACAGAATAGCTATATGGTGCTATTTAATATGAATGGTGGAATATTTGGAGAATGTTTGCTGTGAAAAACACTTTTGTCCTGTGATGCCATTCTCTCTGAAAGAGAATTAGGTAGTAGGACCAATTATTCATCTAGGCCATTTCTGGTTTGAAAAATAAACCATAATCACTTGGCAGGAGAAAATTTTTCTTTCTTTTATTTCAGGGGAATATGTAATGATGCAAATATGTTACTTAGACTTTTTTTTTCCTCATTAGTAGGTACAAGTAGTCAAGTTTCTTCGATAAGGAGACCTGAAGAGGATGATATGGCTTTCTTTGAAAGACGATACCAGGAAAGGGTAGGTTTTTGAGGAAATCCACTTGCATTAAGCATTTACTTGTAGCAAAAGCACTAGAACGATCATATATTGAATGTGGAACATCCTTGAAAATAATTTATAAAATCTTTACTTACAGTTGGTGTTAGGCCTTGAGGCTTATTAGAATAATTTGAATAGAAACAGGACTGGTGAATAACATGGTATTTAATACACTGGTTGATTTATGAAGGTTATAAACATTGGATAAATACACAACCAAAATAGTCAGTAATAAACATCAACATCAGCAGACTTACAAATTATATGTATCTCAAATTTCTTTTTTTATACATATACCTTTATTTTTTTTTTATTTTTATTTTATTTATTTTTTTTTTTGAGACGGAGTTTCGCTCTTGTTGCCCAGGCTGGAGTGCAATGGCGCGATCTCGGCTCACCGCAACCTCCGCCTCCTGGGTTCAGGCAATTCTCCTGCCTCAGCCTCCTGAGTAGCTGGGATTACAGGCACACGCCACCATGCCCAGCTAATTTTTTTAGTATTTTTAGTAGAGACGGGGTTTCACCATGTTGACTAGGATGGTCTCGATCTCTTGACCTCGTGATCCACCCGTCTCGGCCTCCCAAAGTGCTGGGATTACAGGCTTGAGCCACCGCGCCCGGCCACCTTTATTTTTTATTTAAAAATATTTGTCAAATAAACATTGAGTATATTTTGAATTCTTTTTTTTTTTTTTTGTGCAGTGGTGCAGTCTTGGCTCACTGCAAACTTTGCCTCCCAGGTTCAAGAGATTCTCCTGCCTCAGCCTCCCGAGTAGCTGGGACTAAGGTGCGCGCGGCCATGCCTGGCTAATTTTTGTATTTTTAGTAAAGACGGTTTCACCATTGGCCAGGATGGTCTGCATCTCTTGACCTCGTGATCTGTCTGCTTCAGCCTCCCAAAGTGCTGGGATTACAGGCGTGAGCCACCATGCCAGTTTAATTCTTAATATGTATTATTTATTCATCTTAGAGGCTTTTAGGTGTATCCAGACTCATTAAAATTACACAATATGTATCTGGGGGCAGCAGCTCACACCTATAATCCCAGGACTTCGGGAGGCCAAGGTGGGCAGATCACCTGAGATCATGAGTTCAGGACCAGCCTAGCCAACATGGAGAGACCCTATCTCTACTAAGAAAAAAACAAAAATTAGCTTGGCATGGTGGCACACGCCTGTAATCTCAGCTATTTGGGAGGCTGAGGCAGGAGAATTGCTTGAACCCAGGAGGCGGAGGTTGCAGTGAGCAGAGATCGCGCCACTGCACTCCGGCCTGGGTGACATTGAAACTCCATCTATTAAAAAAAAAAAAAAGTAATGGGCCGGGCGCGGTGGCTCAGGCCTGTAATCCCAGCACTTTGGGAGACCGAGGCGGGTGGATCACGAGGTCAAGAGATCGAGATCATCCTGGTCAACATAGTGAAACCCCGTCTCTACTAAAAATACAAAAAAATTAGCTGGGCATGGTGGCACGTGCCTGTAATCCCAGCTACTCAGGAGGCTGAGGCAGGAGAATTGCGTGAACCCAGGAGGCGGAGGTTGCGGTGAGCCGAGATCGCGCCATTGCACTCCAGCCTGGGTAACAAGAGCGAAACTCCGTCTCAAAAAAAAAAAAAAAAAAAAAAGTACTCAATATTCTTTAAGAAATGGAACATTAAACATAAACATATTTTAACAGTTTCTGGGACTCAACAAGTGTAGTCTTAATGTGCTCACTGCTTTAAGTAATGGTGACTCAGTTCACCAGTGTGTAAATGTCTTGGAGATAAGCATAGTGTTTTATTCACTCTTGTGTTTTCCCTAGCACCTAGCACAGTGAGTGCTTTGTATGTAATAAGTTTTTAATGAATTATGAATTTGCAGAAAATTGAAAAAAGTTAACACAAATGTAATTGATACTTTCGTACCTGTCAACTTCTTATACTTTTGGTATGTTTCATGGCCATGTTCATATTTGAGAGTTTTATTTTGTTTTTATGTTTTACTAGATGAAAGAATGTTGGCTTAATGAGGTATGGGAATAGTATTTCAGCTATATGGCTGCAAGTACTTTCTTTAGAGTTGTTTTGTGGGTGTCATTATCTCTCCAGCCAGGTAATAAACTCCACAAAAGTAAAGATACTCCTGCCACTTTTTGTTGTAGCCTCTTCAACTCTTAGACAAGAGCTTGTTGAGTAACTGAAAGTGTGGAAAAGTTGAACATTAAGAAAATTCAGGAAGTAAATTAGAGACAGAGTAGCTTAAGAATTTTGAAGTCGAAGGGGAGAGGTCTTAAGTCTGTTTGGACTGCTATAACAAAATACCATAAAGCTGGGTGGCTTTATAAACAACAGACATTTAGTGCTCACAGTTTCAGAGACTAGGAAGTCTAAGATCAAGGTGCAGCCGGGCACGGTGGCTCAAGCCTGTAATCCCAGCACTTTGGGAGGCCGAGACGGGTGGATCACGAGGTCGAGAGATCGAGACCATCCTGGTCAACATGGTGAAACCCCGTCTCTACTAAAAATACAAAAAATTAGCTGGGCGTGGTGGCTCGTGCCTGTAATCCCAGCTACTCAGGAGGCAGAGGCAGGAGAATTGCCTGAACCCAGGAGGTGAAGGTTGCGGTGAGCCGGGATCACGCCATTGCACTCCAGTCTGGGTAACGAGAGCGAAACTCCGTCTCAAAAAAAAAAAAAGATCAAGGTGCTGGCAGATTTGGTGTCTTGTGAAGGCCCACTTCCTGGTCTGCAGATAGCCTCTTCTTGCTGTGTCCTCATATGGTGAAAGGAACATGATGGGTCTTGAGGCTTCTTTTATAAGGCACTTATCCCATTCATGAGAGCTCTGCCCCCATGATCTAATCACTGCCCACAGGCCCCATCTCCTCATACCACTACACTGGGGGTTAGGATTTCAACATGAATTTTCCGGGGACAAAAACATTCAGACCACAGCAAGGGGAAAGAGGTGTGGTAGGATGTCAGTGAGGGAGATGAAATGGTCACAGTGATGGAAGGAAAGGCCAGCATCAAGGTTATAAACTTATAATCAAATCGGTCTTCATTTTTGGAACATACACACTCACAGCCAAGTTTTGGTTTTTCCTCACAGGCTTATGAGAAACTAGGTTCTAGAATTCCTTCCATCCCTTCTCCAGAAGACTGGAGTTTTGGCCGCCTTGAAAACATGCCAGTGGTGTTTGCTTGTGAGAAGATAAGGAGAGGAATTCTATTTGTGAATGTTTTAAAGGATATACCAGTCCTGTAAGATTGCATCTTTATTTATTTATTTTTTGAGACTGAGTTTCACTCTTGTTGCCCAGGCTGGAGTGCAACGGCGCGATCTCAGCTCTCTGCAACCTCCACCTCCCCGGTTCAAGTGATTCTCCTGCCTCAGCCTCCCAAGTAGCTAGGATTACAGGCATGCGCCACCACACCTAGCTAATTTTCTATTTTTAGTACAGATAGAGTTTCTCCATGTTGGTCAGGATGGTCTTGAACTCCCGACCTCAGATGATCTGGCTGCCTCGGCCTCCCAAAGTGCTGAGATTACAGTTGTGAGCCACCACATCCAACCAAGAATGCTTATTATAGGCCAGGTGCGGTGACTCAGCACTTTGGGAGGACAAGGTGGGTTGATCATGAGTTCGGGAGTTGGAGACCAGGCTGGTCAAAATGGTGAAACCCCGTCTTTACTAAAAATCCAAAAAAAAAAAAAAAAAAAAAAGAAAAGAAAGAAAATTTAGCTGGGAGTGGCGGCGTGCACCTGTAATCCCAGCTACTTAGAAGGCTGAGGCAGAAGAATTGCTTGCACCCGGGAGGTGAGGTTGCAGTGAGCCGAGATCATACCACTGCATTCCAGTCTGGGTGACAGATCAACGTTTTGTTTCGGGGAGCAGGGGTGAGATTGCTTAATATGAATAAACCTAGAATTTATGGATTTATGAGCTGTAGTTTATAACTTTGCAGCCTCTGTGATTTATAGATTTATGAGATATAGCTTATAAACTCTCTACCATGTGTGACTAATGGAGTATAAAAACTAAGAACTAAACTAAATAAATAACTAAATAAACTAAATAACTTTTTCTGAGGTGACATGTACCATACATGCTATTAGTACTTGTCTTTTACTGCAAAACCATTTGGATGATTAGGAAGCTGTGTGTCTGATAGTTCAGAGCCTCTTGCAAGAGCAATGCCATATGTATCTGGTTTTTGCTTGTCTTCTTTGCTAATAACATCTGGCTGGGAAGAATCTATGATTAGTGTAAGTCGACTTTGATAAGTGAGGCTTTTGTGGTCACATATTTTACCAGCCGCTTTTAGATACTATTGAAAAGTTGCTTTTATATTATCAGTTTAAGTTATTTTCTCCTGCTGTAGATGACTCTTGATCTCTTTTCCCCAAGAAAGGAGAATTTTATTAAGGAAACAAGTATCAAAGGTCTACTAGGTGCAAGGCACTGTATTCCTATCAGAAAATTTAACAAACAAACAAACAAAAAAGAAGATGAGGATGTATCTTTTTTCTTAAGACTCTAGATGGTTTTCTGGGTGTAGTTGTTCATGCCTGTAATCCCAGCACTTCGGGAGATGGAGGTGGGCAGATCACTTGAGGTCAAGAGTTCAAGGACAGCCTGGCCAACATAGTGAAACCCTGTCTCTACTAAAAATATAAAAATTAGTTGGGTATGGTGGTGCACACCTGTAATCCCAGCTACTGGGAGACTGAGGCAGCAGAATCACTTGAACCTGGGAGGTGGAGTTGCAGTGAGCTGAGATTGGGCCACTGCATTCCAGCTTGGGTGACAGAGACTGTCTCAAAAAGAAAAAAAAAAAAGACTCTAGATGGTAGATTGGTAGAGGGATGTATTTGCTAAGTGTTATTTCAAATGTCAAAACACTGCTTTGGCTTTTGTTTGTATTTTAGCATCTTTGCTTCTTAAAAACTTACATTCCTACAAATCTAACACTTGACTTTAAATGAGCAAGGAAAAGGGTCTCACATTTATTGAGTGCTTAAGTGCCTAGATCTTTATATATACTATTTATAACTTTAGAACAACTCCGAGGGGTACCTATTACTATGACATTTTTTTACAGATGTAAAACTGTTAAATAACTTGCCCCAAATGCTTAATAAATGGCAGAAGTAGGACTCAAATTCTTTTCTATTTGACATCAAAACCTGTAACTTTTGCTCTAGAATAGGGTATTTTTGGGGGTCCTTCAGATGACCTGTTGTTTGATACAGTTTGCAAGAATGGTATGAGTGTATGGTGTCTGAGGTTCCCAACCCAACTCAAAGAGGAGAGACAGGGAATAAATGTGGAGGAGACAGAGGTTACATTAATCTGGTTTTATGGTTGGGAACTTTTTTTACTTGTAGTTTGATGGGATTGGATAGACTGGTTTTGCCTCATTTCTTTTTCATTTTCTTTTTTGATATGGATTCTCACTCTGTTGTCCAGGCTGGTGTGCAATGGCACCATCTTGGCTCACTGCATCCTCCGCCTCCCGGTGAGAGGTGAGCCTCCTCAGTAGCTGAGACTACAGGCAAGTGCCACCATGCCTGGCTAATTTTTTGTATTTTTAGAAGAGATGGGGTTTCACCGTGTTAGCCAGGATGGTCTCGATCTCCTGACCTTGTGATCTACCCACCTCAGCTTCACTTTGGGATTCCCAAAGTGCTGGGATTACAGGTGTAAGCCACCACGCCCCCCGGCCTCTCTTGGTTTCTTTTTTTTTTTTTGAGACGGAGTTTCGCTCTTATTACCCAGGCTGGAGTGCAATGGCGCGATCTTGGCTCACCGCAACCTCCGCCTCCTGGGCTCAGGCAATTCTCCTGCCTCAGCCTCCTGTGTAGCTGGGATTACAGGCACGCGCCACCATGCCCAGCTAATTTTTTTGTATTTTTTTTTTTAGTAGAGACGGGGTTTCACCATGTTGACCAGGATGGTCTCGATCTCTGGACCTCGTGATCCACCCGCCTCGGCCTCCCAAAGTGCTGGGATTACAGGCTTGAGCCACCGCGCCCAGCCGGTTTCTTGATATTATTCCTATCACTTCAGAAGTTTGGAGGCCCTGCCTTCTTCTACCATGGACCTTGACCTCCTCTCCCCTTCTCTTGCAGGGGTAAGGCAGTGGGGTTGCCTCTGGAAATTGGTGTGTGTGAATATGAGTGGTGGTGAGTAAGAGGCAGGTAGGCTTTGTGTTCTCTGGGGTCTTTAATCCCACGGAAAATGTCTCTTTATGTCTAAAAAGTTAGAAGGCCATTGCTTAGGGTATGTGTGCTGCTTTTTTGCTTTAACTATAATAGAGGAGGACAAGACCTTCAGGAAGGTAACCAGGAATATAGAAACCAGGATTAACAGGAAACTATCCTTAAGGCAGTCCACGTTCCAGAGAGAATCCAGCTGGATTAGGTACATTTTGTAACTCTGTAGTGAATGTGCATAGGCTGGATGTAAGTTTAGGCATTTTAAGCACTTTTAATTAATTTTTTTTTTTTTGAGATGGAGTCTTGCTCTCTTGCCAGGCTGGAGTGCAGTGGCGCGATCTTGGCTCACTGCAACTTGCGCCTCCTGGGATCAAGCTATTCTCCTGTCTTAGCCTTCCGAGTAGCTGGGACTACAGGCACGTGCCACCACGCTCAGCTAATTTTTGTATTTTTAGTAGAGATGGGGTTTCACCATGTTGGCCAGGCTGGTCTCGCTCTCTTGACCTTGTGATCTGCCCACCATGGCCTCCCAAAGTGCTGGGATTATAAGCGTGAGCCACTGCGTCCAGCCAGCACTTTTAATGTTAGTGGCAATTGAAATTAATTTTTTTTCTCTAAAGCAATATTCATATGTTACTTTAATTAAAATGCTTCTGTAAAATTAAAATCAACCCATTTAAAAATATGTAATTATGTCCCTTTAAGAGATTTTGGCTTTAGTATTTGGCAGTTTAATAACTGTGTGGAATGGCTGTGACATGAATCTGAATGAGTTTTATGCAGGTTTTTTTTCTTTAGAATGGTTTACAAGTTATTATATCAATAAATATGTTAAATTTACAGATAAAAATGGAAAAGGCTGGTAAGCGGAAAGGAAAAGCTCCATTGCCATCAGCTACAAAACCTTCATGAAGACTGTTGGAGAAATTAAAACCATCATCCAAGTATATCTTTTTCATGTTTATTTAAATGTAATAATACAGTTTATTTTTCCTCAAATTATTTACTTTTTTACTGTATAAATGTTTTTTGCAATGTTTCCTTAATTTATTTAAATAACTAAAAATGCCTATTACTTTTGTCAAAACTTATGATTTGTTACTATGTGTATACCTTTTCTCTCTCCTAACAAATGAGATTATTTTATATGGGTCTACCTGAGAGTACAGCAAATATTTTTAGCATATCATAATTTAACTGTTTTAGGCTAATTAAAAAATTAAAGATATTATCAAGGGTTCTGAACAAATATATAAGAGCTGTTTTTGTTTGTCATACAAAATAGTAAGTTAAAAACAAAACATTGGGAGGCCGAGGCGGGTGGATCACGAGGTCGAGAGATCGAGACCATCCTGGTCAACGTGGTGAAACCCCGTCTCTACTAAAAATACAAAAAATTAGCTGGGCATGGTGGTGCGTGCCTGTAATCCCAGCTACTCAGGAGGCTGAGGCAGGAGAATTGCCTGAACCCAGGAGGCGGAGGTTGCGGTGAGCCGAGATCGCGCCATTGCACTCCAGCCTGGGTAACAAGAGCGACACTCTGTCTCAAAAAAACACACAAAAAACAAAAACAAAACAAACAAACAAAAAAAACCTAAACAACAAAATAGCTAAAATCATTAATTTTTTTATTTTTCAAAGTTTGTAATGTTACGTTTTTAAATAAAAAATATATCTTAAAATTATACTGCCATTTTTTAGTGATATTATTGATTCTTTTTTTTCAATCATCTTTCTCAGGTCAACGATATCTACTGATTTTTAAGTTGTATTGTCAACAACCCATTGTCTGTAACTGTACTGGACACATCTTGTGTGCCACTGCAAATCATCTTGGCCCATTTATGTCTTACTCCATTACTGCTGTGGAACACTTTCCAGCAGGTTTCTGATAGTGAAAGCCATTTGATGGCACCTTGTCTTGGGCCCATGTCACAGCCCTCTTGTTTCCTTCTGCAGCAATCTTCTGACACTGGCTTGGGATGCCCACTGGAACTCCACTGTATCATACATATGTAGCCCAAAGATGTTAGGGAGCTAGTGACTTTGGGGCCATTCTTGATTAATGGGAGGTGGAAGCCCAAAAGATAAGTGCTCTTCCTTCTTCCGACACTATGCTCCAGTCACCCATAGCAGCAGCCAACTCAATAATAATACATCCCTATGTTAGCTTTCTCTTTTTTCCTTTTCCACTCCTCTTCTGCTCCCTGTGGTTCCCTCAGATCACTTCCCAAATAAATTACTTGTATAATAACATTTACTGGTATAAGAACATTTGTCTTAGGCTTTGCTTTTGGGCAAGGGATAAACTCACGCTAAGATGGTTGGTACCAGGAATGGCTTTTGAAAGCAAACACTCAAAATAGTATCTTGTGAGTGGATCAGTCATTGCAGTGGATTTGGATGAAGTGCAGGTGGGAGGTGAAGTGCTGGATTATGCAGTAGCTGTGTCATTACAGTGAAATAGGACTAGTGGAAATGATAAAGTATTCACTTGCTACTTTGAAATGCTTTAGGAGCTTTGAAAAAGCAAATGACACAGGCTCATGACAGCCATTTAACTCAAGGAATGCTGTGAAAGCCAGAGTCCCTCTAAGGAAACCCATCTGCAGATACAGGGCAGACTGTTGCCAATCAGGCTCAGATCTAACAGTAAAGGTGGCAAGGCTGCAAAGGAGGCTGAATGCACAGTCTCCAGCAAAGTCAGTGTGCTGACACAAAAAGAATGGAACCCTAAATCACAGGATGGGGACATTTGTGTTGATGCCTGAGAATCTCAAACCCTCAGGATCCTTAACTCTGAGCTGGCACAAATTGTGTCCTCCAATTTTCTAGAGGAGTATAGCCTGCCCTTTGCTTTGAGATTCTCTAAAGGCTTTATCTGAGGCAGTTGCATCACAAGGTAACACTTGTCCTCCTCAAGATCCACCCTTGCTACCTCTCATTGACTCCAAAGTAATAACTAGGATCAGGTCTCAGCAAACTCTAACTTGGGGAATGTAGTCCTTCCTCTCGGAGGATAGGTTTCACTCTGACTCAGTTGCAGATTCTGGTTAAAATGTGTTGGGAGGAACCCAGGGAATATGTCTGAGAGTAGATCTTGAGGCTGTTGAATCAAAGAGTGTGGTAGGGATGGAATATAAGGCTTGAGAGGACAGAGTGACATCAGAGCACTCACTCATGATGCATGGTTTAATTCCCTGGCAAGAATCTCTGGAGTTTCTCCTAACACAATGCAAGGATGGCATACAGAAGATATGAAAAGCATGCCAGCAGTTATCTGACAGTACTGAGGAAGGGGTCAGAAAGCTTAGGGATGTATTTGTTGTTTGAAACCGGAGAAGCTACCACCTGACTTTTCCCTGGGAAGGCCCAGATGATATTCATAACTAAGGCAAAAAAAGTATAATAGTAGTCAAGTGCAGTGGATCACACCTGTAATCCCAGCACTTTGGGAGGCTCAGGTGGGAGGACTGCTTGAGCCAGGAGGTTGAGGCTGCAGTGAGCCTTGATCATGCCAATACACTAGCCTGGGTGACAAAGTAAGATTCTATCTCAAACAACAAAAAGAAATGTAATGGTGAAGAGTATACTGGAAACTTTGAAAAGCGTAGTAATGGTTGATTGACCTCTACAGACTAGAATTAATGTTGGAAGATGTTATGACACTGGGCTCTGTGGTATCAATGTAGATACAGGATGGGATGCCGAAAATTTTGAAGGCCAAGTTGTGGAACTTAACTGTCAGAGGCCCAATGGACATAATTAACTTAATGGGTACCTAGGCATGAATCTGTGAACAAGGTAAAGTTCATGATGTTCCAAGGGGCAAGATAGAAGGACAGCTGATTAGGATGTTATTTGACTTGTATAACTGATTCCTCTCACCCCTCAGAAAAGAAAATTGAGAACTGGCAAGGAGAAGGCTGACATTAATCTTTGTAATGAAAAATCATAGTTCCCAATCCAGTTTCCAGACCTAAAGCTCATGGTGGAGGGAAGGTCCAGATCCCTTGAGGAAGGATCATCAAATATATTTGGTAAATATCCTCCTAAATCCCTTCTCAAAGGGGAAGTCATGTACCATCATTTACCAGGGTAACTATGCAATGGATAAAAAGGAATAGTAAGATTTTTTTCAACCAAGGACCATTGGATACAGTGCCTGAGCTGACATGGATCCCAGAAGACCCAAAAGACCATTGTGGTTCACTGGTTAGAACAGGGAAGCTCAGTGACAAATGGAGTATTGGCTAAAGTTCATCTCACGGAAGGTAAAATGGGTCTGGTCCCACTCTATTTCTACTCTCCCTAAATATACATAATTGAGATAGATACATTTTGAAGCTGACAGAACCCTTGGGCCTACATCGATGGCTCTTGCTTCTTGCCCCAGGGCTTCTTAGATGCTGTAAAGCAGAGTTAATGACCTAGATGCTTCCTTTGACCAATGGGTCACGTTGACATAAAGTCAGTAAGGATATAGAAGACTTGAACAACAGTATTAACCAACTTCACCTAATTGACATTTATAGGACACACTAACCAATAACAGCAGAAAACACATTCTTTTTTTTTTTTTTTTTTTTAAGTACAAATGAAACAATTACTAAGACTGGCCATATTTTAGGCCATAAAACAAGGCTCAGCATTTTTAAGATGACTCTGATAATAAAGTAAATCCCCTGGCCACAGTGGAATTAAATTATAAATCTATAACAAAGATGTCTGGAAAAATCTCAAATGTTTGAAAATTATATAACACATGTAAATGAGCCATGGGTCAAAGAAAAAAGTCAAAATAGGAATAAAAGTAATTTCAATTGAAAGGTAATGAAAACAAAACAACATAATATTTGTGGGATGCAGATAAAGCAATATGTAGAGGAAAATTTATAGCACCAAAATGCCACTATCAGTAAAGAAAAATATCAAATCCATCCTTACCTTAAGGAACTAGAAAAAGAAGAGAAAATGAAACTAAAATAGGTAGAAAAGGGAAAATAAGATCAGAGTATAAATTGAAATAAAAAACAAAAGCAAGAGAAGAAATCAATAAAACCAATAAAATTTATAAACCTCTAGCCTGACTAATGAGAAAGAGAGAGAGTGAGAGAAGGCACAACTGTTAGGATTGAGAGTCGTGACATCACTATAGATTCTACCCATACTAAAAGGATACTAAGGGAATGCTATAAATAACTATGCCAGTGATTTTGATGACTCAGATGAAATGGACAAATTCCTTAAAAAACACTGTGTTGTAAACACTGTGATGTGTTGTAAGTCCCCTTTGTGGGATCTTAAAGGATCGTTCCAATTTGGTCACAGAAATTCGAGAGAAGCATATAAAATTAAAGGATTTATTACACTCATTTGTCTTAGAAAAGGGAGGCATGACATGCCACAAGGGGGCTACATATAAGTTTTGAACGCCAAGGGAGCATGCTCAGGCAAACAGGTGGGGAGCTTAAGAGAGAGTGAGGACCCGCGGGCAAGTGCCTTTACCGGGGGTCAGAGCAGAGTAGACAAGAAAAGATGTGAAGGGATTTCATTGGTGCTTTTTGAATGTCATTAGATCACAATTGGCAGGTCAAGAATAACTTGTGACAGGAACCAGCCTGTCACCCTGGTACACCTGGTCACTTGGGCAGGGTATTTATTTATGGCCTATTTGTGGGAACATTGAAGCACCAGGAAAATATAAAGTTAAAATATTTACAATATAGACATAACTATCGAGCTTATTAAATAATAAATGGGTAACACAATTAGCCCCTTATCAAGAACTTGAATTTGTGGTTAAAAACTTTACCACAAAGAAAATTCTAGATGGCTAGAATGTGCACTAGAGGAAATGATGCCCAGATGGCTATTTGGCTGTACTGTGAATTTTACCAAGCCTTAAGGGAGCAAAGAACATCAATTCTATAAGACTCTTCCAGAAAACTGAAGTTGGGAATTCTTTACAACTTATTCTATATGGCCAGCATCACTCTGACATCAAAACAAGACAAAGACATTACAAGAAAAGAAAATTTCAGACCAATATCCCTCTTGAACATAGATGCTAATTCTTAATAATTTTAGCGAACCTAATACAAGAATATATAAAAAGGATAATACATCATGACCAAGTTAATTTTATCCCAGAAAAGCAAGGTTGGTATTACATTTGAAAACTGTTCGATGTAATCCATTGTATTAATAAACCACATGATTATCTCAATAGATATGAAAAGAAGTATTTGATAAAATTCAACACACATTCATGATAAAAATTTTCAGCAAACTCAGGATAGAA